CTCATGACTGATCTGGATATGTTCTTTTTGACAATGAATGCAACACCATTCTTCTTCAATTTTTCATTCCTGGTATAATAAACCATGTGGTTGTCAGATCCAAAATAGCCAATACCAGTCCATTTCAGCTTACTAATGCCTAAGATATATCAATGTTTATGTGTTCCAGTTCATTTTTGACAATTTCCAATTTTCCTAGATTCATACTTCATACATTCCTTGTTATAATTATTAATGGTTGTTTACAGTTGCTTCTCTTCATTTTGAGTGGTGTCCATCAGCAAAAGAAGGTCTCGAAGACTTTACTCCAAGCTCATCAGCACAGTCAACTCTATATTGAGGAGGAAATTCTTCCTCTGTCGCATTTTTAGTGCTTTCCAACTCGAGCAGCTCACCTTACAGCACTATATCTGGCAATATTCTGATTACCTTCATCATGTTTCAATATTCAATATTTTGGTGTTGACAGTGTTCTACTGCTATTCATAAAGTTTTCAGTAACGAATTATTTGGAAATAGCCCATCTCTCCTTCTTCCTAATGCAATATGTGAATATGGTAGGTAGCCTTAAAGAAACCAACCCAGTGAGTGATGTAATAGAGTAAGGCATTCTCTTATTCCCTGTGGGGTTCAATTCCTGGCCAAAACACGTCAAGTATAGCCACCACCCCTTAATCAGTGGAGGCTGTGTCTGACTATGATGCAGAACAGCTTTCAATGGAGCTTCTAGGCTAAGACAATCTAGGAAGGAAGGCCTGAAAATGTAATTTTGAAAATCAGTCAGTGAAAACTCTATGAATCATAATATTTCAATATGCAATGAGTAGTGTTTTATTTTGTCATGCATGACTTGGGAGATGAGTTGATAGCATACAATAGCAATAACCTAAAGTAATGTGACCTAAAAGCATTTCATTGAACTTTAATGTAACCAAAATCTCACTATGATGAGTCACAGCTGTATAAAACAGAATACAAGTCCTGGCATGGAAGTATGGACAACTAAACAGATAAAGTGTTGTATGAATCAGCACACAAAGGATGGAAAAAAATGCAACTGCATAAAGCGGCTAAGTGTTAAGGCTTTTCTGAGGGAATGACTTACATAATGCTCTACTATGTTCAACTACAAGGAGCTCTGGTAACATAGTGGTTATGAATTGGGCTGCTAACCTCAGGGTCAGCAGTTTGAAACTAGCAGCTGTTGCATGGGAGAAAGATGAGGCTTTCTGCTCCCATAAAGATTTATAGCCTTGGGAACCCTGTACAGGGTCGCTGTGAGTCAGGACGACTCCACAGCACATAACAACAACAATGTTCAAATACAGTGGAGAAGGAGTACCATCAGCCCCATCAGTCTAATGATTATGGGACTCAAAAATGTTTAAGGATGAATGTGTATATAAATGCCATTACATAGTACAAACGTCTACCCACCACCTACACACTTGTGGGACCCGAAAGGGACTTTTTGTTCTCCACTGTCTATAGATACAGAGGAAGTTAGGATTAGTCATTCACACATTAGCAAGTATGAATAATGATCTTATCATTTGTGAGAAACACCTAAATAATAACTTAAACCAATTCACATTGTGCAGGAGGATGGTAATGGTGCTTATTAAAGAGGACCACTTTAATTTGTTCTAAAAAGAGAAAGGAACATTTGACTAGCTACTTCATTTGACTTGAAACCAATGTATTCACTAAGCTATTAACAGAGTTCACCTCAGGATACCAGGTAGCACATTCCAACATTATGAAAGAGTTTCCCCTCTTGTCAAAACTGACCATTGTGAAGGAAGATGTGTGGCAGAACAGTCTCTAGAGCTTGCTCCACAGTTTAGTTGATGGATTGTGGAGGTGGACATTGGTTGTTTGTTGTGTAACTTCAAGTTAATTCCAGCTCCTAATATCCTTCTATAGTACAGAGTAGAACTGCCCCCAAGGTCTTTTCTTCTGCAGAGCCACTAGGTGGGTTCAAAACACCAACATTTGAGTTAGTGTTATACCACCAGGGCTCCTTAAGGCCCAGGGCAGTAAAGCAAAAATGTTCTGCATTTGGAGTTTTAAGATTTGAATTTCTAGATCTAGATGTGTCATAAAGATTTGTGAAGCCATCAGTAACTCCTAGAACTCTTTAAGCCTCTTTTTCCACTTGCAAAATCTGTAAATACTTTTCGACAAAGAAATCTTTCTCTGCAGTTCCAGAACTTGGCAGTGTATTATAGAAAAATGAAAGTGATTCAGTTTCACAGTGATGCCTTTGCTTTGTGTCATATCTAGTTTTCTCAAGGTTGTAGGATTCTTTAGAGTCATTTACGAAAGATCATGTAAGCACAATGTGTTCCTATTGGTGTGGACTGTTGAATTCTTTCAGAGCATTCAAAGGATGTGTTCAGGGTCTTGCAGTCAATGGACCTAAGTTTGAATCCTACAGGCCTCTCATTAGCTGTGTGATGCTGGTCACTGTCTTGAGGTATCTGTTCAAGGCAATCTTATCTTAAAGGGTTATTATAAAAATAAAATAATACATATATAAGCCCTTAACATCATGCCTGACCCTATTAGTTATTGTGTGTTAAATATCATTATACAATCAGTTGATATTTGTAGAATTCCTGCTGTGTGCCAAGTTCTGAGATTCAATGGAGAATGAATCACAGTCCCTAGGGTGAAATAATCTCATAATTTAGTGAAGGATAGGAATACATAAAGTGGGCAATTACTGCAGGTTGTAAAAAAAATCATGAGCAAGTAGTGAGTCAAAAGTGCCAAGGAAACATAAAGGAGAGCTACCACAAAATCCTTGAGGTATCAGAGGAAGCTTCATGTAGGAGGCAACATCTTCTCTGAGGCCTGAAGGATGAGCTGAAGCTGCTTAACTCAGGCCATGTGAGCAAGCACACTGAACAGTGATGAGGCTATATTTTCCTTCTTTCTGGATTTTGAGATCCAAGGTGCAGCAGATCCTGTAGGTATGCTTTTCTTCCCATTCAGAGTGTTGGTGAGGCCACATCAGGAGAGATCATGTCACCTCGTTTATGCGTGTGTTCGATACATAAGTTTCCCAAGAGAATTATATCAGTCCTCGGAGAATATTAGTAACCCTTGAAAGCCCCAACAGAGAAATTAGCTTTAAATTATTTTCCTTTGCTTCACCTTCTTCATCTTCTATGAGTTGCTTTAATACTACTGATATCACCATCATCAACATAACCATCATCATCATTGTCTTTTTTTTTAACTTTTTATTGAGAATTGAGTGAAGGTTCATCATCACTGTCTTGAACTTTCTGGGGAGAATGTGGGTGGAGCCAGAACTGAATGAAGCTACTTAGCATGTGTCAGACACACTGTGGGAAGGAGGGAAAGGACAGTGTCTGGCACTCCCCCACCTTCCCATGCCATAAGACTACTGCTACAATTTATATTACTTGTTCTCAGCCATTCTTAGCCCAGCAGGCTAAAAGGATTAAATAACTTGGATTTCTGCCGTCAGTACTCTCGCCAAGAGGTAGAGTTTTGCCAGACCACGTCATCCTGGGACCCATAGCAATGTGGTCACTGCCAGATGTCAGTCTCTGTCCATATTGGTACTCCCTTTCTGATGTACCACAGAACAAGGGTCCCGGGGGTGTCTGTTAGTGTCAAACCCTGAATACTAGTCTGTTTGTCTCCCTACCGGTTGCCATGATAAAGCTTATTTTTATTCTTGCCAGACCACTAAACCCCAAATCTTTTAGTTAGAAACTTCTTTTTAAGTTCAACAATAGTTCAACAGTAGTTATCTAGATAATTACTTCTAGTGTATTGTATCTTCCCATGACTGTATGTGGTGAGGGGGAAGCTATCAGAACTATTCCCTGCCTGTTAATACATCTTCTAGACCTTTGGGAGAGAAAAGCAAATGATCAATAGATAAGCTTGCTGACTTTGTCATCAAGATTCTCAAGACTGATAATTCCTGGAGTTGCTTATTCTCCCTTGGAGATTCCAACTTCAGTTGAAGGCATTGACTTTGTTGGACATAGAGGGTGGTATTGAGGGATGTCAGTGTCTTCAAATGGTGGGGGATAGGGAGGAAGGTGGTAGGGTCTCCTCATCTATTACTTTACCACCTTATTTCTTCCAGGAGTGGCCGGGCTGATCTGGCAGCCATATACCATGAACGTATTGATGTTGAAGGCCACCACTATGGCCCTTCGTCACCTCAAAGAAAAGATGCCCTCCAAGCTGTGGACACCGTCCTGAAGTACATGACCAAGTGGATTCAGGTGACCTACAGCAAGGACAGCTGGTCTGATGTTCTCTCCTGTCACTGTCTTCTTGTCTCCTTGACTACAATACTACACCTTCAATATCTTCCTTCTCATTACTGATAGCTGAGTTGTTGTGAAGTGCTGTCAAGTCGATTCTGCCCCATAGCGACCCTGTATAGGATTTCTGAGGAGCAGCTGGTGAGCTTGAACTGCCGACCTTGCAGTTCAAATGGCTTTGCAGTCTGGGGCATTAACCCACAGCATCACACCAGTAGGCCAGTGCAAATGCCTTGATGGTTCTCTTTTCTTCGCTCAATGCTGAGCTGCTAACCACAAGTTCAGCAGTTCAAGCCCACCAGTTATTCATTGGAAACCCAATACAGGGTCACTCTGAGTCAGAACCAACTCAATGGCACTTACAAATAGTAACAACAACTCAGGGCAGAATTTAGATGACTAAAGTCTCTCAATATCCTTTCACCTATGATTTGTAGTTTTTGTTTTGTTTTAAGCATCTTTACAGAATTGTCTGATTGTAAGATCCTTTCTTGCTGCTGTAATAACTGCTTTTGTTGACTCCACAGGAACGGGAGCTGCAGGATGACTTGAACGTCATGATCTTCTCAGATCATGGGATGACTGATATCTTCTGGATGGATAAAGTGATTGAGCTGAATAAGTATATCAACATGAATGACCTACTGCAAGTGAAGGACCGAGGGCCTGTTGTGAGCCTTTGGCCAGTTCCTGGGAAACATTCAGAGGCAAGATGTGTCACAAAGGGTGGGAGGAGGGCATGGGGGCAGGTGAGAGGAAGAGGGGTGGGAACTTCTGCATTTTCCATCACTCTGTGTTTCATCGTTTTACTGTAGTTTTAATTCTGAGATATGGAACAATGTGAGGATTATACTCTGGGGGCAAATGACATGCATTTGTCGAGTGACTAATGTTAAGCTGTCCATTCTGCCTGGGTCTCTATTTTCTCTTCTCTAAAATGAAAATGACATTATCTACCTCACTGAGTTTTTTGGAGAGTAAATGAGATTAAGGATGTGTAGAACTTACCATAGGTCAAACACACTGGAAGGACTTAATGTTGTTAGTTGTTGTTGAGTGAATTCCAACTCATGGCAATCCAATGTACAGCAGAATGAAACACACTGTCTGATCCTGTGCCATCCTCGTGATCATCAGCATGCTTGAGTTCAATTGCTGTCTTCCAATGAAGGGTGTTCTCCTTCCAGCACTATGGTTCGTTGGTTGGCAGTGTTCTGTGGAGTCGGTCCAAGTCATAGCGACCCTGTACAGGGTTTCCAAAGCTGTAAGTCTTTACAGAATCATAAAGTCTCACCTTTCTCCTGCAGAATAGCCTGTAGATTCAAACTTCTGGCCTTGAAGTTAGCAGTCCAGCGCTCCAGCACTATATAGGTCCATATTCTGTCATCCATGAAGTTTTCATTGACTGGTTTTTGGAAGTCGATCAGCACACTTTATTTCTCAGTCTATGTTAGTCTGGAAACTGCTGAAATTTGTCTTCCATGGGTGATCTTGCTGGTATTTGAAATGCTGGTGGCATAGCTTCTAGCATCACACCCACACGCAAGCCATCATGGTACAACAAACTGACAGATGGGTGGTAGAAATGCTTAGTAGGAATATTTTATTATTTGCTAAAATGAAGTACTTCTCAGGCAAATCTGGGGAATATCACATGCATACATAGAATGGCTCAGCTCCTTGTCTCAGGAGCCACACTGCTGGGATTCAAATCCTGTCTCTGTCATCACCTGGTAACTGGGCAAAGTACTTAACATGGACCCTGTGTGCCTTCTCTGTGAGAGTGCCGAGACAATAGTAGCTGCCTTCCCGGGTGGCTATAAAGCACGTAGGAGTGTGTCTACTAAACCCATGATAAGGACCACATGCTGTTGTTGTTGTTAAGTGCTTAAGTGTTGTTAAGTGTTAAGTGTTGAGTCAGCTCTGACTCATTGCCACCCTGTATAAGGTGTCTGAGGAGCTGCTGGTGAGCTTGTACCACCAACCTTGTGGTTCAAATTGACTTTGTAGTCCAACACATCACCGTTAAAGGTGAGTGTTTCCAAGAGTGTGTGGCTGAGCTTCCTCAGTGAGGCAGATGTGAGACACAACTCTGTTCCTCACAGTCATTGCTCTCCAGGAAGTCACCACCCTGACAGGTTTTCTCAAAACAATACCATTATCTGGCAATACTTAATAAATCACCCTGAGAAAATGACATTTCAGATTGATTGCTTTGTCCTCAAGTTACTTGGTGGCGTCCCACTACAGACTTCATGGCTTTTGCCTACTCCCAGAAAAAATTCTTCTGGACCAGGAAGTGGTTCCATTCCCTGGGGAGGCCTAGGCTGTTGCCAGAGAAAGAAACCAACCACAGGAGTGTCAGGAACTGGCTGTGGGTTTGGAGTCTGCATCCATCCTCAGATAACTCACTGGTATTGATGGGATAGGCACAGGTTAGTGTAGGTCAGCTTTGCCATCTTCCCAGAGGGAGATGCTCCTCTTGGTCCTGCTCATCATTTGCAGCCCATCTGTCCCTTTTGTCACACTGGTGGAGAGTGATGGCTCAGTGGTAGAATTCCCACCTTCCATGCACCTCAAGTGCAGCCGCCATCACTTTGTCATTGGAGGAGGTGTGTTGCTATGATGCTGAGTGGTTTTCAGCAGAGCAGCTAGACTAAAACAGACTAGGAAGAACGACCTCGTGATCTACATCTGAAACCCAGCCAATAAAAACATTATGGATTACAGCAGTGTAATCTACAACTGATCATTGGGATGGTGCAGGACAAGACTCTTTTGTTGCATTCTGTATTTTGACCATGACTCAGGGGCTGACTCAATGACAGCTAACAACACACTTAGCCATTAAAAAGTGCACTCCTCCTCATTTTTGCCTTGATCCCCCATTTCTCTCGGACTCCAGGGTCAGGAATTGGAGATGCTGAATGTATTTACACAATGTTCCCATAAGCTTCCTAAATGTGAAATCAGGAAGGATTTTTTTACACATCGTCAGGTCTTGCAGTAAATGGCTTCCTGCAAAGAAGCTCTATTTTCCTGGCAAAGAAGATGGTCTGTCTCTCCAATTTGGCACTTAGGAAAGTGCCATCTTCAGAATGCTTTAGCATCAACAGCTTGTGAGCTGGGAAGAGCCGCTTCTAAGGTGGTGTTTAAGTCAGGCAACTGTAAGCAACCCAAAAGCAATTGGTTGCTTATTCAAAAGCGGGGGTGTGTTTGGGTGACAGTTAGTCATGTGGCGGGCACAACAGTTTGTGAGACCTGTTATGTGTCATCAAATTTTTCACTTATCCAACATCTTTCTGCAAAAATACTCTTAAGAACTATGGATTTTCTTATGTGTAAAACCATAATTCATTAAACCACCAGAGACTATCTACTAAGCAGCCTGAAAACTAATTGGATTTCAGAAGTGGATTGATAAACTCAATGTTACATTCAGCTGTACTGATCCATTTTATGGAGTCCTGATGTGGTAGTACAGGGTAAGCACTGGACTGATAACCGCAATGTGAGCATTTCAAACACACCAGCAGCTCCTTTGGAAACCCCATACAGGCTTGTTGTGAGTTGGAACCTACTGGCCAGCACTTAACAACAACATTCCTACCCAGAGCTACATGTCTGATTTGGTTAAAGGCCAGCAAGTTGACATTAGCTGGAAGATTTTATTTTAGCTGTATTTAAAATGCTGCTAAATGTTAGAAATATGTACAAAGTTTGCATCATCATCATGTAGTCTGCAATGGAATTAATGGCAAATGTCTAGTTCTTTTACTTTTCAAGTGTAGTTAGGGCATGCTTTAGGTCAAATTGGAACAAATCTTCTTTCTTTGATCTTTGTGATAATAAACATTGTTATTGTTAAGGGCATCGAGTGAGTTCTGACTCATAGGGTTTCCAATAAGCATCTGGTGGGCTTGAACCATCAACTTTGTGGTTAGTAGTCCAGTGTGTATCTACAGTGCCACACATTAGACGGACCAATTTCTCATCTAAGAATTTTTGACATACTTTTTATAATTTATTAATTACTGAACAGGCACAAAATATTTAGTATAAAATATCCAAGATGTAAAGGTTAATGTTATAATGGACAACTCATACTCAATAAACATGTAAGCAACAGAACATTATTTATACCAGGGTCATCTCTTGTTTCTGTCTCAGAATCAACCACCTTTACTGAATCCTAAGAGAAAACCCACTGGCCTAAGTTTTCAATGACAATGTCCACAATTCTTTTTTATAAGTTTACCATGTGTGCTGTTTAGTTTTGTAGTTATTTGAACTCTCTACAGTAATCCTGTTTGTATGTTTCTGCAGCTTGGTTTTTCACCATGGCCTGAGATTTTTGAAATCTTTCCTTGTGATCCATGTAGCTGTACTTCATCCATTTTTATTGCTGGATAGTATTCTCTTGTGGAAATACCCCATGATTCAACTACTTCTTTTGCTGTTGGTGGGCACTTGGGCTGATTCAGTTTGCAGTATATATTCCTACAAGTACACATGCACAAAAGTATCTCAGTAGTTGACTTATTAAGTTAGAAAGTATGTGGGATGTCAGTCTTATTTAGTACGTCCACAATGTTTTGTGAAGTATAGAAAAGTTTTTATTTTTATTTAACCAATTCTATGTTTGTTTATTTGTTTTTACCATTTCTTCTTTGCATTTGTAAGACCTCACAGCCAATGTCTTATAAAGATTCAAACCGATTTACGAAAGAGAATGCAAAACTGGTCATTCTTGGTTTTCTCTGCAGATCTATAATACGTTGAGAACAGTGGGACACATGACTGTGTATGAGAAAGAAGCCATACCGAGCAGGTTCTATTACAAGAAAGGGAAGTTTGTCTCTCCTTTGACCTTAGTGGCTGATGAAGGATGGTTCATAGCTGAGGTAATTATATTTTAAAAGATATAACAGATGTTATGTTCATTATACAAATTCTACAAATAATACAAAGATAAACAATAATTATTTACCTTTTATACTGAACTGATTTTTTTTTTTTTTTTCACTATGTGTCATTCACTGTACTGTTTCCTTATTTGGAGAAGCAAGAGGTTTGATCAGGTGAATTTCAGACACATACTATAGACATGAGCCCAGAGTCCTGCCTTAGACTTCATGGCTCCAGACTCACTGTATTTTAACAAACAGGCCTTAACTCAATTACCAAGGCTTACAATGTAACCTGTTAAGTTTAAAGCGGAATAATTACTGTGAACAAAATCAATTGCTCTAGGGCAGCCAAAAGCAAAGAGAGGCCCAGCTTTGCTTTCTACCTTTATGATAAATATTTAGCAAACAAAACTCTATAGATTCAGTTTCCCAGTTTGCCAACTTGATTTTACAGAGATTATCTTGCATTTTTGGTCCAAACCCTAATTGCCGCATGCCTGGATACCTTCAACAGCCTCCTCCTTGTCTATTTAAGATATTGGGCCAATGTGGGAAGACCTGGCCCTTCATGGGAATCCACCTTCATATTGTGTTTAGAATAAAACCCTGAAGAAGGGAAATTGCAAATGGATCAGACTACAGGATAGAAGAGCATGGAATTTTTGGAACATGAGAGTAGATGGTCAAGGCCATCTAACACTAGAACTTAGTGGGTCAGAGAGAGAGCAGGTGATGACCAGCAGGCATACTGACCAACTAATGATGAAATCCAGGGACCTAGTTGTGGAAAAATGCAGTTCTGTGCTATGAAACTCAGTGTTTCCAGAGAAGAGAGTCATTTGTGCGTGCTCTCTGACACAGTGAAATACCGGGTCACTGAGGATGTGGGAACATAGCAGATAAGGGTACAAATGTTCACTCTCACAGATCAGAGGCCAAGAGAGGCCTCTTGTTTGTGGAGCAGGGTCACCTATGTCACGTGATGTAAAAGACCACTGAGGTGTTTCCAAGTGTTCTAAGAACCAAATGCTTCTCTTCATTTTATTTTAGGCTCAGAATATTTCTTTTAGCTCTTCAACAGTGTCTGCATTGCATATACAGGCAGTCAGTATGGTTCATCGGGTATGCATCTATCCAACTGTACTCCATAAAGCCAAGTTGAACAAAAGGGTTTAATTTTTAAAGTTGTTGCTTTTTTTTTGTCCATTTAAAATTCTGCCATAATTAATTTGCAATTTTAAATGCAAACAGACTTTGAGGGGTATTCCACAGTTGGCTGTCACTCATTGCCTAGCATGATTATGTGTGTTATTGTTGTTGTTAGGTGCCTTTGAGTCAGTACCGACCCATAGCGACCCTATGAACAGCAGAACGAAACACTGCCCGATCCTGGGCCAACCTCATTACTATTGCCACGCTTGAGTCCATCGATGCTGCTACTTGGCCCATCCATCTCGCTGGGGGTCTTCCTCTTTTTCTCTGACCCTCCCTCCATCCTACCAAACATGATATCCTTCCCCAATGACTGGTCCCCCCTGACAATATGTCTGAAGTATGAGAGACAAAGTTGGGCCATCCTGGCCTCCAAGGGGTACTCTGTACCCACCCTTTAATTCCTCTGATTTTGATGAAATCAATTATACTAAGAGGCTAGTTCATGGTAAGGAGGAAGATTTTAAGAATGCAGAGATGATTTGGGGTAATTTGGTAGAAGATAGGCTCAGGGTAGGGTTTGGCAAAGCCAGAAGGCACCATGGAGACATTGAGCACTGATGAGATGCCATCAGACTTCCAATGGGAGAGGCCCTAGACAACCTTATTCCCATGTCCCACTAGGTGGGACAGGTACTGGTAACGCTGCTACAGCCACAAGCGTTGTCAGAAAAGATGCGTTCTGCAAGATAACCATGGTAGCTTGACAGTACAGCATCCAGCAAGAAGAGGCCGGTCATTACAACGAGTGACTAAATCCCAGTGATAGGAGTTTGAGGGATATCCATTAATGCTTTGCTCATAAGCAATAGACCACAAGAATAAATGCAACTTAAATAATAATGAATTATTATATCACATAACTAGAAGTCTAGAGATAGACAATTACAGGGTTAGTTAATCCAGCACTTCAATGATATCAAGGCCCTGAGTCAGCTCTCCTGCTATTCTTTTGCCTTTGCCTTGAAGGTCAAAAGACAGCTAGCTGCTGCGGCTCCAAGCATCACATCTCCTCAGATCATCCAATAGCAAGAAAGAAGGAGGTGGCGTCTCCTCATATGGTCTCACTTTTATCAGGGAGAAGACTATGTCCAGGGGCACATGCAGTTTTTCTCTGACTCTGAAAAATATAGAATTTGAGGGGAATCTTTCTTTAAGGAAAGAGTACAGGACTGTTAATATTGCCTACAGGCCCAAGCAAAAGTGAGCTCCAATGCTAAAGTTTCCTTAACTGCAATGTAAATCCACCTGTACCCAGAACCCATTAGTAAACAGCTGCTTATGTCTCATCAACCAGCTAACTAGTCTGGTTAGAAAACTCCTGTCTCCGGTCAGCTTTGGTCCCAGATCTGGAACTTTTTGAAACCCTCTTGTATTGAAGATGACTTGTGCAGTTTTTTTTTTTTTTCCTTTATAATTCTTCAAAAAAAAAAAAAAGAGCATTGAAGTAATTTCAATAATACATGTAGCAGAAAGTTAATAAAAAATAAAAAAGTAAATCAGAAGGTGAAAGGAAGATAAATAGGATGGGGATAAAATAAGATTGGTTCTGAAAATAGCATTGGTGTCATTGTTGTTAGCTGTCATTGAGTTAATTACAACACATGGTAATCCCACATGGGTACAGTAGAACTGCTCCATAGGACCTTCAAGACTGTGACCTTTCAGAAACACATTGGCAGGTCTTACTTCCATCATGATTCTGAGTGGGTTTGAACCACTGGCCTTTCAGTTAGTAGTTGAGCACTTAACCATTTGTGCCACCCAGGGGCTTCTTGAAAATAAACATAAAACTAGCTTTGAACAGCCAACCCAAACAGGAAAGTACAATTAATTAATAAGGAGTTCTGAAGGTGCTAAGCATTGGGCTGCTCAGTGCAAGGTCAGAAGTTCAAATCCACAAGGAGCTCTGTGGGAGAAAAACGAAGATGTCTATTCCTATCAAGATTTACAGTCTCTGAAACCCATAGAGGGTCGTTATGAGATGGAATTGACTTGATGGTAGTGGCTCTGTGGTGTCTGTTACTTAAGAACGCAAATGTTTCTATGGAAAATCATGTCTGAGTCCTGAGAGAAATTTAGATTCTTTTAACCACTCCTTTTTGTACCTTAGTTTCCCAAACTGACCACCTTAGTCATTGTACTCTGTCCTTAAATTTGGTGTGAATTTGGTGTGGCGCTGTAGGATCAGCACTGGACTGTGAACCATAAGGTCAGCAGTTCAAATTCTCCAGCCGCTCCTCAGAAACCCTATACAGGGTTGCTATGAGTTGAAGTTGACTCAACGGCCTCAGCAACACCAATTTTTAAATATCAGATGTAAAAATTATACTTTCTGATCTTACTTTAATTTAACATTGGGATTTAATTATCTATCTTGTGGGAAATCCTAAAAAAATGAATACCCATTATTGTCTTATTGACTTAGACTTTCTTATTCTCTGTCTTTCTATTGTTTGTTTATGCTTTCATGACTATGAAGAGTTGAAACTCCATTCTATATCCTTGTTCAGCATGGTGCCGAGGCTATTCATCTCTCCCATTCCTATATATAAAATTTCTCCCTAAATGGTAAAAGAGCATTGTGTTTCACTTTTAATCTGCCTTTCAGAGTTCTTGTGTTGGACTCCACTCCACATCTGTATCATGGTAAAGTCTGCAGCTTTAGCAGTCTCCATGGGCTTAGATGGCAAGGGAGTCTGTTCTCTGGTTTGGACATGATTAGACAAACAGCTGAGTCAGGACAAGCTGATGCTGACTGGGGGCCAATAAAATCGAACCCCATCCTTTCTTCATTTCTCCCTGTAGCTGCCATCCTGGAAACATGTAAGACTTGACTTCTTTGGTTCAAATGCCATTCTCATGCCAATTTAAGGTTTGCAGACTCTCAGGCAGCTACTCTAACGGAAAGACTTAACTGAGCACAGTGGTTTTTTTTTTCTTTTTCTTTTTCTTTTTCTTATGGTCACTTACTTGAAGAATTTTACAGAAAAAGGTAGAGACAGGGAGGCAGATTTAATTTGTCACCTGGAATTGCACAATTATCCAGTGTGATTGCTGATGCTGCCATATGAAAGCAATCTCCCCTCCTCCAGGCTCCCCACAGTTTGCTTCTGTTCCTATAGGTTTTAATATATAGGCTGGATTTCCAATTGCTACCAGTCTTTCCTCTGGGCTTCCTTCTCCAAAGGACAGAAATCTCAAGGTGTTCATTTTCCTGGAAGAGTAAATATGAAGAGATTAAAAACAAAACAACAACAAAAAACCCAGGCTGCCTGCATGTCCAAGCTCTTTCCTTCAGGGAATGGGAAATAAGATTTCCTCATTGATATTCCTGCTCCTCATTTGCCTTGTAACACTGTACTACCCTCTGGAAAAACTTTACGTTACTTCGCCCTGTCAGGACATGATGGTCAGACCCTTCTCCTGAGCGTATGAACACTGTACAATCCGGCTCTGCTCTCCCAACCCACGTGGCTCTCCTGTAGCCCCATTTTCAGTTACCCCTGTTCTAATGAGGACCTAGCTAGCCACACCACCACTCCTTTCCTCAGGAGGGTGCTTGGGAACAATCTGGGACAGCTCCATGCAAACAGCATGGGAAAGCAAGTCCCATGATGCTAAATGTCCTTGGCATATGGGACAGTCACGCACAACAAAGCAAAGTCCAAAGTGAATAAACACTGTGACTCTTTCCACCAAACTCAAGTACGATCTTTCATCTATAGCTGTGAAGGTGATATGCCTAAAATATCCTTCGTCTATGAAAATCAACAAGTATT